TAACATAGAGGGCTTCACCCTAGAGGCTGGAAGCCCCCTTTCTCCATTTCCATTAAAAGAAAGTACCAAATATATCCCCTGTGTTCCACCCTAAACTCCTATGGGTATAAATGGAAGTGGTGAGTGGGCAGTGAGATTCCTCTGGAAAAGTGGCCATTGCCATAGAACAGAGCAGCCTCTTACCCACTGAGGTGGACTGAATGTTTATGTTCCCCCAAATTCTTGTGTTGAAACCTAATTACCAAGGTGACAGTATTAGTAGGGCCTTTGGGAGGTGACTGCATCATGAGGTTTGAGCCTTCATCAAACTTATCAATCTTATAAAAGTCACTCAATCTTATAAAAGAGGCCCTGGAGAGCTACCTCACCCCTTCCATCACATGAGGACACAGCTTGAAGGTGCCATCTATGAACCAGAAGGCAAGCCCTCACCCAACACTGATCCTTGATACTGGACATTGCAGCCTCCAGAATGGAGACATACACTTCTGTTGTTTATATAGAAATGAATAAATAAACACATACACATACATACATACATACACACACACACACACACACACACACACACACACACACACAGAGTATATGGAATTTTGTTATAGCAGGCCAAATGGTCTAAGACACCCACCCAAATTGTGATGTTCTTTTCTCTGCCTCACCAACCTCCTCCTCCCTGAAAAAACGATTTGGGAGCCCAGGAAGAGTCTGGCACATTTCACTCTGATTCATTGCCTAGGAGCTGCAATCTTAAAGTCCTATCCTCCCCCTTCCTGATCCTCCAGCATATATCCACCCACTCCTAGCCCAACATAACCAGTTTCCTCCAGCAGCAACCCTTCCTGCTTCTGTGTCACGAGCTCCAAGTGAGGGCTTTTTAGGGCTCAGTTAGTCCTTAGTAGATCCTGAATCTCAGACACCATTTCTCCCCAGTTCAATAAAATTCCAAATGCAGAAGCAAATATGTAAATTTTTTCATTTGTAGAAAATATTTGAAGTATAAAAACAGAGAGCCAGTGAAAACAGTTTGACATGTCATCATAATACATGCAAGGGGTGACGAGGATACATAGAAGCTCACTGAAATTTTCACTACAGAACAGTGGCAGGGATTTCACCACTAGGTGGGACTCTTAGAGAAACATTTCATTCTTGAGCTTCTAAGAGTTCTGGCGTGGGTTCAGTGAAGGCAGGAGATGGCTATGGAGATAGGCCCCTGGGCTCCTGGGAGACACCACTGTCTATGACCCAATGTGAGGGTAATCTAAAAAGAAAAAAAGTCTACTCCTGATGCTGTCTTTCCAGATGTCAGACTCATCCCTTCTTGAGAACAGAGATTCCCTCTCCTTTCTTTGATCCCTTTCACCCATTACCCGAAGCTCCCCTGCACTGGTTTCCCATTTACTCAAGACTAAGTGACAGGATGTGTTAAGCTACTCTTAATATTCAGATGCCATCTTAGAGGGATAAAGTCTGAAAGATTGAAAACTTTATTATAAGGTCAGTTATCCAAAAGAGACCTTTACCTGGAAGAGATTGAGATACTATTCATGAACAAACTTAAGATGCCTCACCTCTATTATGGACTGCAACTGGGACATATACTTCAAAGGAGTTCAAACACTATGAATACTCAAAAGTGTAGGATGTGGCCCCAAGGCCTGTGGCACAAGGCAATAAGACAGGAAAAAGGGATTGAGGAAAGGTCACATGGTCAGACCTGAGCAAGTGAGGAGTGATCTCATGGGAGGTGAACCTAGAAAGGTGGGTAGGTGGGTAGGGACCAGACAGCACAGGGTCTTGTAAGAACTGCTGAAGAGCTTTGCTTTATCTTAATAACAATGGGAAGTCACTGAAAAGCTTCACCAGTTCACATTTGCTGTGGTGCAGAAGATGGATTCCCTGGAGGTTGGGGGTGTCCACATTCAATGATAGTGTACCACCTAGGAAGGTACTGTGGCTTAATTTTTTTCATCTAGCAAGGTGAGTCTAAAAAAATATAAATAGCCTTTATTTTATTCAAAATAATTCTCAACAATCTTGTCTTTCCATTTTGCTATTCCTTATCATGTTTTACCAAATTTCATTCTAATGTTTTAAATAAAATTACATTAAATCTATGTGGCTCCTAGTGGGTATCATCACCTTTCCTATACTGAACTAAACAAATGAATTACATAAAGCAAGTGTCTATGTCTGTGTAAGGCTCTTAATCTCAGTCTTAACTACCGATTATCATCACCTTAAACAATCTTCCTATAACCAGAAAAAGTTACTATTTCATCTGTACAAGATGAAAATGAATAAAAACCAAACTGAGTTTGAGATAAGTTGCTCCGCTGTTCCTGAATTATTCTGATTTTCTGTGGTATTTTGCAGATCTTGCAGGAAAACCTCATTTTGTACCCTCCAAAGTTTTCTGTTAGGATCATTCACATTAAAAACTGTTGATTGCAGCTGACTGAAAGCCAAACATCTTTTCTAGGATAATTCACTATACTTCATACAGGCTCAAAGAGACAAATATTCTCAAAGATAATGTCCAAACAAATGCTTCCAAAGAGAATGCTTCAACTTTTCTTTCAAGGCATTACATTAGTAGACAGAGTGGCTGCTGCAGTGCTGAGAGCACTGACAGTGGACCACCTAGGAAGTAAAAAGGTTTTATTTTGGAATAAGATATAAAAAGGAGAACTGTACTCAGGACATACATACAGACCAGGGTGGCCTGCAGTATGTCTGGTGAACAAAGGAAAACATTAAGGTTTTACTGGGGAAAGAGGAAGTTTATGCAAGTTGTTTTATAAGAAAATTAATAGGCCTTGGCAGCATATTACAAGAGCTGGTGAGTTCTGACTGGCAAGCATCAGTAGTTGCCAGGTAAGATTGGTAATCTTGGAGTTATGGTTAGGCCCTTGCAGTTTTGGATTCGGTGTGTCAGGCAAGTGCTCTTATATAATGGCTAGCTGTCCTTGTGCTGTTAGCTGTCCTCGTCTATCTCATGTAATAAGCTTCAGTTTGAAAAAATTTCTAGTGATAGTTCCTGTTGTGAGGCAAATTGTGTGTTAGAGCCTTCCCTTCACAGACTTCCCTGGCTCTATTTTTAACAGGGTTTGACACAAATTACTCCATTTTGAATCTCACAACTTTCCCCACAGGTCAAACACCAAAGTTATTATTGAGGGCTGGGGAAGTCTTCAGAAGGCACAAATTGAACTTGGAGCAGAAGGATGTGCAAAATAAGAGGGTTCATGAGGGCATTCTGGACATCAGAAGCATTAAGTTATTTGGAATGAGCCATTATTAAGAAAACTGCCTGACTGGACAGGAAGATTCAGGTTGAAGATAAGACTGAATGGCTAACTAGAAGGCTAATCACAGGGAATCTCAGAGGTCTTGTAAGGATGCTGTATTTATTCATTCATATACATAATTATAACATGGTAACAATGTGACAAGTATGGGATATAAAATAGTAAAGAAAATATACATCTCCCTTGCCTTCATGGCCCTAGTGAGGCAGAAAGACAATACACAAATAAGCAAACATACAGAAGTAATTACAAAAAGTGATAAGTGCCAAGAAGGAAATTAATAAAGTACAGGGGAAGCCTGCTTGAGATAGGGTAATTAGGGAAGGATTTTCTAAGGTGATAGCATTTCAGTTTAGAGTATAGTCTTTTTTTTTAAGGTGGCGGTGGTGGTAGTGGTGGTGGAAGCAGCTTTCTACATAGAGGCATTAAGATGGAATAGCCAGGGCTTTGCAACTAAAAACAGCTTGATTTGTTTAAAAAAAAAAATCAAAAGGACCAGATTAGTAGGGAAGGGAGAGAGCAGAATATGGTGACAGTAGAGAGGTTAAGAACAAACTATTCAGAAGCTAACAGGGCAGGATACAGAGACAGAGCACGGATGTTTCCTGCAGTGGATGCTTGATAAAAAGCAAAGCACCAACTTGTGTTTTATAGAGTTCTGCACTCGTAATCCAAAGGTTTGATTTAGTAGATTTGGAGGGGCACCATGCAGATTCTGCATTTTTAACAAGCATCCCAGGTAACTTCTGACATAGAGGACATTCAGAAGAGCACTGGGAGAATTATACTGCAGAAGGCTCACCCTTCTCACCATCAGTTAAGTTCACCTTCTGAAGTTAACTTTTTGCGATAATGGCTTAGATTCTCATCTAGAGAAGTTAGGTCTCCTAATTAGTGCCCACATAAGTGCCTGGTACAGACTCAGATCCGTGCTACACTCACACATACTAAATGCTTAGTGATGTTAGTGTTTTTCACAAGGACTAACACAATACCACTATTAGTCAATGACTATCCAGAACTACAGGGGATCCTTCCAGAGTGCCACCCTCAAGAAAGGGGCCTAGATGCACAAATATTGTTTCAATAATTCCAAAGACTCCTAAAGACAGAAGACTCTGCAAACTTCCATCAGGCAGGGATCGTGTCTTTGATTCCTCCCGAAACCCTACATACTGTTTAACAAATAGCTACATGAAAGGCACTGGTAACTGGTTCCCATTTCTATTAATAAGATCATCAGTTGAGTGGCTGAAAAATAATGGCGGAAGTTAAAATTGCTGCTAAAATGTATTAGGTATTACCTATGAATTTCATGTGTTCCTTTATAAAAACAGATCTTTTTGAGTTGTATTTAAAGTTGCAATCCCCACCAGTGCCCATTTGGATGCTCTCTATGGCTCCGCTCCGGTAAAATTCTCTCTTCCACAATTCTTCAGAATTCTGTGGAAAATCACTTAGGAACAAAATAATTCCCAGCCTAATTCACTGACTACAAGAACAAATGTTCAGTAAATGGTGTATTAAGAAAGAACCCAATTATCTTTTTAAGTGATGTGCCAGTTTCTTCTAAACGTTGTAGTGTATTCTGCAAATACTAATTTAACAGCCTGGAAGCTGTCTGTCTCCTGGCCAAGGCCCAGGCGCTCTGAGAGGGCCTCCCTACCCTGGGCTTCCCCCTCTTACCGGGTGTAAGTCCTCGATGCCGCTGGAGCCCTTCCGCTTCCTCACCACCGGCCACAACTCACGCGCCTCAGGTCTAGGTCCTCGTCGTGGCTGGTGCCCTCCGCTTCTTCACCATGGCGCACAACCAGGGCGTCCCGCCACACCATGGACAGCGTGCGCATGCGCCACGTCGGGCCCCGCCCGCTATTCACTCTGCGCCTGCGCCTTGTGTTCCGTCCCCCCCCCCCTCCCGACGCAGTGTATGGGGTGAGTCACGCGTTGGCTCAATTCTGGTCCTTTCTGCAGCTGCTCCAGGTAATGGAATGCGCGCGCCTGTGTGGAAGGTAAGTCTGCAGGACCCAAATCTGAATGAGCAGGCCAGGTGCTTCAGCCTTTTAACCTATCCCAGATAAAGTGCCCAAACCGCAGACGTTTGGATATGTGCGAGTTGGCACACTCGGGCTGTGCAAATTGACAGTTGAGGGACTTGAGGATGCACCAAAGAAACCCTAAAGAATAGAAGCGGGAAGGATCTTCTGGGTTCTGAGAACGGAAAGTTCGGTACATTGTGTAGGGGTGAAGTGAGGAATGAGGCTAGGGCGGCTCGAAGCAGCTGAAATATAGCCTTGAAAACTGTTGAGGAGTTTGTGCTTTATTGGAAACCCACTTGGAGCTGAAGATTGACGTGATGTGTGTTTTATTGACTGATTGCAGTGGATTAGAATGGATCAGGAAAGGCACAAGGAATTCTCAGGCTGTTGACTTCATTTTGGCTGTTAAGTCTTTACTTCTGGTAAAGAAGTGGGGCAAGCAAGGCAGGGAATGAAAACCAATGCAAAGGATTGTTTCAGTATGATTTCGCGGGGAAGTGCTAGAATATAAATTATGTATCAGAGTTATCTGGGCCAGAAGCAAAGGAGCTGGGCTTTTATTCTCTCCTCTCTTGTTATTCATTGGTTAAGGGCTACCCAACGGGATGTATATGTGCAGGCACAGCTAGCTCTGCACAAGCAGGCAAAGCAGTTCTGATAGTGAGCCAAGTAGTCCTCCAAAGAGGACCCATCCTTATAAGCATTCGGCAGTGAAAGCAGATTGAAGTCGGGTGAAGGTGTGTGTGTGTGTGTACAGAAGTGGTACAGAATGGCCTGAGGGAATGTATTATGGTTCTCAAAGAAATAGAACCAAAAGTATATGAGTGTATATAAAAAGATTTATTTTAAGGAATTGGCTCATGTGATTATGGAGGCTAACAAGTCCAAAATCTGCATGGTAGACTAGTCAGCTAGAAAGAGAGAAGAACCAGTGCTTCAATTCAAGGCTGAAGACCCACAAAAGAGCTGAGGTTGCAGTTCACATCTAAAGGCCATCTGCTACACAATTCCCTCTTCCTAGGGGGAGGTCACTCTTGTTCTATTCAGGTCTTCAAATGATTGGATGAGGCCCACCCACATCATGGAGGGCAATCTGCTTTACTCAAAGTCCACCAATTAAAATGTCAATCACATCCATAAACCCCCTCATGGAAACATCTAGAGTAATGTTCGACCACATATCTGGGCACTAAGGCCAAGCAAAGTTGACACATAAAGTTAACCATTAGAAGGGGCATCTTGGTATACAGCTGATGTTGTTCATCTATGTACTTTTTGTTATTTTTTTTGTTTTTGCAAAAAGATCATTCAAAAGGTAGCCTTTCCAAGCTGTGTTCTCTTTCCCTGGCCACAGGGCCAGGGGGAACAAATGGACCAGAGAAAACTCTTGGGTTACTCATGAGAAATGTTTAACAAAATGGCTTCAAAATCTGTGACTAGGTTGTACATATCAATTCTGTTTATTAAGGGAGAAACTTGGGTTTCTTTGTATTTAAAGTTTTTCTTTTTTGATAAGTAGAAGCCTGTTTTGTTACACAGCAGACTCTGGCCTTGCCAAATATAGATCACTGTTTCTCTACCATTTTTTCCCCTTTGACACATGGCAGATGCTGTCCATATGTCATACACTCATAGGTTCCCAGCAGCTTATGAAGTATCTTCTGTAACTGTGCTACTCTCTCTCACACTCAAAGCATGTCAGAACACTAGTAAGAATGATGTTACCATGGGTATAACATTAAATCATCTTTCAATTATTTTCAAAAGATATACCATTTGTAACCTTTGATTCTTTAGTATGATTAATTACCTGAAATACACAACTTTTTGTAATACACTGGAATCATGTTATAAAGACGTACTTTATGAAAAGCCTCACTTGTGAACTCATATGTCATTTAGCAGCACTGGATTCCCCGAGTTGTATACTCACTTGATAAACATTATGCCAGCAACTGTGCTGAGGAAACAAAGGTTAAGAAGACACTGCCCTGCTCTCAGTTTATATCTGGTAAAGTGGCATAGAGATCAGTTTGAACAATGAAAAATGCAGATTCTCTCCTTCAAAGTCTGATTCAATAAGTGGGGCCAGCAATCTGTATTTCAACAAGCACCCCCCCATCCCCTGAGGTGATTTTGTTGCAAATTTTCAGAGGTTTATATTTTAAAAAATACTGATCTGGTGGGAGAGATAAAATTGTGTAATGGGTTCAAGATTAGGGACTCCTTCCTCTGTTGTTTCCTGAAATACTTGGAGTAAACAGTGTATGGATACTTAGAGGGCTTGTCCAGGGTTTTCCATTTCGTAATGTTACCAGTATTCTTGGTTCTTCCCACTTCTCAGATTTTGCCTTATCTGCACACAGTTCTCCACTGAATACAGAAAAACTTCTAGATTCTTCCACTCTCTTAAGGAGAAAAATAAGGTTCCAGTTTTAGAGAAGGTGGAATAAGTACATTCCACTTTATTTCTATTACTGAATGCAATTATAAATTCTTTTTTTTTTTTTTTTTTGAGACACAGTCTCGCTTTGTTGCCCAGGCTAGAGTGAGTACCGTGGCGTCAGCCTCACTTACAGCAACCTCAGTCTCCTGGGCTCAAGCAGTCCTACTGCCTCAGCCTCCCAAGTAGCTGGGATTACAGGCATGCGCCACCATGCCCGGCTAATTTTTTCTCTATATATTAGTTGTCCAATTAATTTCTTTCTATTTATAGTAGAGACGGGGTCTCGCTCTTGCTCAGGCTGGTTTCAAACTCCTGACCTCAAGCAATCCGCCTGCCTCGGCCTCCCAGAGTGCCAGGATTACAGGCGTGAGCCACCGCACCCGGCCAATTATAAATTCTTGATGTAATGTACTGAGCAGCTATATAAGGACTCTGAAAATAATCAGTGGATCAAAGAAGAAATCATACAGGAATTTAGAAATATTTTGAGATGAAAGAAAACAAAAACACAATATACCAAAACTTATGGATGCAGTGAAAACAGTTCTCAGGGGAAAATTTATAGTCGTGAATGCCTACATTAAAAAACCCCTCAAATTAATAACCTCACTTTATACCTTAGGTAAGTAGACAAAGAAGAGCAACTAGAAAAGAAAGCCATCAGAAGGAAGGAAATAATAAATATCAGAGTGGAGATAGATGAAATAGAGAAAAGAAAAACAATAGAATTAATGAAACCAAATTGGTTTGTTAAAAGATCAAGAAATTCACAAACTTTTAGCTAAGCTAAGAAAAAAAAGAGAAGATGCAAAATAACTAAAATCAAAATGAAAGTGGTGACATTACTACTAAATTTACAGAAATAAAAAGGATAAGAGAATACTATGAACAATTATATGCCAACAAATTAGATAGCCTATATGAAATGGACAAATTTCTAGCAATTCACAAATCACCAAAACTGGCTAAAAAAGAAAGAAATAGACCTATAACAGGTTAAGAAATTGAATCAGTAAGCAAATATCTCCCAAGAAAGAAAAGCCCAAGTGGCTTCATAGGCGAATTCTACCAAACATTTAAATAGGAATTAACACAAATCCTTCACAAACTCTTCCCCCCCAAGAAAGTAGAACAGAAGGGAACATTTCCTAACTAATTCTATGAAGCCAGAATTATCCTGATACCAAATCTAAACAAGGATGCCTCAAGAAGACTAAAGTCTAATATCTCTTATGAATATAGATGCAAAAATCCTCAACAAAATACTAGCAAATTGAATCAAGCAGCATGCTAAGAAGACTGTATACCATGACCAGGGAGCGTTTATCCCAGGAATGCAAGAAGAGTTCAAAAGAAAATTAATCAATGTGATACACCAAATTAATAGAATGAAGAAAAAACCCACAAGATCATCTCAATTGACACAGAAAAAGCATTTGACAAAATTCAACATCTTTTCATGATAAAAAACACTCAGTGAAGTAGGAATAAAAGGGAAACTTCATCAACATGATATAGAGCCTTTATGAAAAACCCACAGTTAACATCACACTCAAGGGTCAAAGGCTGAAAGCTTTCCCCCTAAGATCAGGAAAAGACAAGGATGCCTGCTTTTGCCACTACTAGTCAACATTGTACTGGAAATTCTAGGCAGTGCAAGTAGGCAAAGCAAAAAAAGGAAGGGAGGGAGGGAGGGAGGGAGGGAAGGAAGGAAGGGAAGGAAAGAAAGGGCAACAAATTAAGGAGGAGGAAGTAAAACTATTCTCTGATGAAAATGTCCTATATAGAGAAAATCCTATGAAATCCACACAAAAAACTATTAGAGCTAATAAGCAAATTGAGTGGAGTTGCAATACATGAATATAAGTTGCATTTCTATACCTAAGCAATAAACAATCTAAAAAGGAAATTTTTAACAAAAATTTCATTTACAGTAGCATCAAGAAGAATAAAATACTTAGGAATTAACTAAGGAAGTAAAAGACTTGTAGACTGCAAACTATAAACCATTGCTGAAAGAAATTAAAGAGGACTTAGATAAATGGAAAGGCATCATGTGTTCAGGGATTGGAAGATTTAATATTGTTAAGATATCAATACTAACCAAAGCAATATACAGATTCAGTGAAATCCCTATCAAAATCCCTGTTATGGATTTTGCCAAAATATAAAAAATCTACCCTAAAATTCATATGGAATCTTAAGGAAACTTAGGCCAAAACAATCACAAAAAAGAACAAAGTTGAATGACTCACATTTCCTGATTTCAAAGTTTACTACAAAGCTACAGTAATCAAAATAATGTGTTCCTGGCATAAAGACAGACTTATAGACCAATGGAAGAAAATAGACAGTCCAGAAATAAACTCTTGTGTGGTCAAATGCTCTTTCTCAAGGTAGTAAGACTATTTGGGGCGGGAAATGACAGTCTTTTCAAGGGTGCTGGGAAAACTGAAATCCACATGCAAGAGAATAAAGTTGTACCCTTTCCAAGATCATATACAAAAATGGATTCAAAATGGATCAAAAGATCCAAATATAAAAAGCTAATAAACATTATAACTTTCTTTGAAGAAAAGAGAGGGGAAAAAGCCTCACAACATTGGATGTGGCAATGATTTGTTGGTTATGACACCAAAAGCATAGGGAACAGAAAATAGACAATTTGAAACCAATGCATATTCAATTCTTGTCTCCAGTGTCTCCGACAGCTGACGTTTATTCAGTCAGGATTAGATTGAGGACCACGCATTGCATTTGGCTGTAAATTTTAGGTTTAACCCCTACGTCTCGGGGCTCTGAGACAACCTAGGCAAGCGACAAGACCACGGACAATATCTTCAACCGTCTTCAAAAGCAGAGAGGCTGGAAGCCCGTGAAGCGCCGGGAGCCGGGTTCACGGGAGATGGAGACGCAGTTTTGCGTGGTGCTGGCTTGCCATGCAGCCGTCTAGGAACGGGCCCTGGACTCCATCTGCGCATGCGCTGGCCTTGTCTCGCGTGACCCGCGAGAGTATCAGAGTGCCTGGGTTCCTCGCGGATGTGGAGGGTTTGTACCTCCTGTGAGAGCCCGTGGGCGATGGACCGCCTGTGCGGCTTGGACCAGGATGGAGGGGTGGGCTTGTGCCCCCGGAACCCTCGGGCGGGACTCTTCCAGCGCAGGAGCCCTGGGCGGACCTGTGGGAGTGGCCCCCGACCTCGTGGGCTCCCGAGGCGCAGGTGGGGCTGAGCGCAGGTCAGGGGCAGGTGCTGCGTGCGGGACCTTGAGGCGGGACCAGCCTGCAGCCTGACCCAGGGAAAGCCCATGCGGGCGGCGGAAAGGGAAAAGCGTTTATAAAGTTGACAGCGAACATGCCAGAACCCACGGATGGGTCTGCAGTGAGACCCCCAGCTCTGGAGACAGACTAGTAAATTCCAGCTCTGTCACCTGTAGCAGGGGTGAGGCAAGGAGCCTGGGAAACAGGTTTCTCATTTGAAAATAATGGCATTGTTGGGAGACTTTAAGTGGTCACCTGTGGAGCAAGTAGCCAAGTACTAATCCCTAAGTGACAACTGCTATCATATTTAACAAATGCTTTGTTCTTTAGATTAAGTGACTTAGGTAAACCTCACAACCACTCTATGAGGTTGGTATAACCGTATACATTAAAAATAACAACTGACCTGCCCAACACCTGATACATGTAATATTATGAAATAGAAAAAAAAGTTAAAAAGAAATAAAAATAACAACCGAGACTCAGGTTGGAGCGATGTGCTCAGGGCCCAAGCTGGCGGTGAGGGAGCTCGGAGGACAGGTGTGCATTACTTCTGGTCTCAAGTGCTAATATCACACCTAGCTAAAACCAGCATTGCAGCTTCACTGAGCAAAGTGACATGTCCCTATGTGCACAGGGATAAAATGGGAGATGAGTGTGAATGTGAATGGAATCTTACTATTGTGAGGTGTACTCTGGGATATCTGGTGTCTCCTCAGAACCCTTGAGTCAGATGAAGTTTCCTAGCTCCTCCTGCACTAGCAGGTTGTCTGTGTTTTTAGTCTGACAGAGTGAATTCCAAGACAGGTTTGTGGCCCTAAGTGAATCTGTTTCCCAGACCCAGGTCCCAGACCTTGGTAAAAACATTTATTTTAGAATAAATCCCCTCTTGTGATGTAGGAATGAGAGGGGCTCAGGGAATAGGAATTTTACCTGGAAGAGAACATCCCTGTTCTTAGTCCCCTCACCAGAGCTTTAGAGAAGAGGCAAAAGAGCACAGAAAGGAGCAGGTCCTGGGTTTGCATGGCCAGAAACAGCAGTTCTTCTTGTTTTTTTTCTTATTTATTTTAGGGACAGTGTCTCACTCTGTCTCCCAAGCTTAAGTGCAGTGGTGACATAGCTCACTGCAGTCCTGAACTCCTGGGCTCAAGTGATCCTCCTGCCTCAGCCTCTTGAGGAGCTGACACTATAGGTATGCACCACCATGCCCAGCTAATTATTTATTTATTTATTTATTTATTTTGTAGAGCTGGGGGTCTCACTATATTGCCTAGGCTGGTCTTGAATTCCTCGCCTCCCGTGATCCTCCTGCCTCAGCTTCCCAAACTGCTGGGATTATAGGTGTGAGCCACCATGCCTGGCCCAGAAGCATCTCTTGATCCTCCTGACCAGATCTGAAGATGTTACCCCATCCAGAAGCCACCACACTCTGTGACAGTGGGAGGTTTGGGCCAGCTTTGAGAATAGTAAGGTGAGTTGGGGGGCCCTGGGACAGGCTGCTGAGGAAATGCAGCTTCATTGCACAGCTTATGAGGGCGAGGTCGGGCGTTACAGGGTAACTAGGCTGGAGAGGTTGGAAATCTCATCTGGGCTATCCTAACCAGCCCCCAGTCTCTTGGTTCTCCACTCTGTACAGATGCCATATTGCTCCAACACGTGTCCATCACCACATGTGACACTAGTGATTTTATCCTGACCTCACAGGATCCCAGGATGATGGTTCACAAACTGTTTCCCGGGTTAGCTACTTCTGACTTTTGAAAGCTTCAAGAAACTGGGTCTGAGCATTTCAGTGGCTTGTCCAGAGACACCCAGTTTGTGACAGGACCAGGAGGAAAACACAGTGCAGTTCACTCTCACAGGTGAGTCACCCAAATAAAGCATCTTATAAAAGGGCCTTTAGAGAAACTGTAATCCAATTAAAACTAGTTAAAAAGTTTTGCCAGAAAACATTCCATATGCATTTTACTGGGCTTTCTGTGGATTTTCCTCCTGAGAGATAGATGTCCTCCTGAGCAGTGTTAAGTGGTGCAGCATGAGTGTTTTGCCATGTTAATTTTAATAAAAGAACAGTGTCTTATCCTTCATAATTTAATCCTCTGTCATGTTAGTTATTTCTGTTAATCATTCAGTAAAACAACTAAATTATCATATAACTATGGAAAAGTTTATATTTTGTCAATGAAAAGCTGTAGGTTTCAGTCCACTTGACCATTTCTGAGTTTCATGTGGGTAGGTGGTGCTGCCTCTGTGTGTCCTTCCCACGACCCCCAGCCGAGCCCTCACAGTTCTCTACACTCTCCCAAGAGCTGCAGAAAATAAATACATCTCAGGTGAGTTCCCCATTTTGCATTATAATGGATTTGTGAGGCTTAAAGGGTCCATATGTTAAATGAAATAAAAATAGAAATAAAAAAGCCAGTCTTGAGGGAAAATATACATAGCTTCAACTTTAACTTTTATGTTGTTCTTGGGTCTTAGTAGGTAACCTTTGTTGGTAAGTAGGTTCTTGCCAGTCACTGATTTGCTTAGATTTTAATTTAGTCATGAGTGTGCTTTGAATTATATTGAGTACCTTTGCTGTATTGATTGAAATAAAGACATACCTTATTTTCTTTAGCTTATAAATGGCGTGATTAATGTGAAGGATTTTGTAATATATATTGTTTATTTTCTATATAGATTCTACGTGCTGATGAGTGTAGTGAGTTGCTTTGTATGTATGTTGGGTGGGATCCTTCTACTAGTACTATGTGTAGAATATTTATTTCTGTTTAGGTTAGGTGAGATTATAGTTTCTTTTTGTATTTTGGTGTTATGGTTATACTAGCCTCATGAGAGGAAAGGGGCACTTTTTGCTCCTTTTTTCTTTGCTTGATGTTTTCCCCCCTGTAATTTATATGAGAAAAAATATCTGTTATTTTTGGGGATGGTTTTTGTGTGGAGATTTTGAGTATCAAACTGGTTGTTAAATGATCATTGATCTCTTCTGGATTTTCTTCTTACCGTGTAGCTTGTCTTTTCATATTCTTAAGTGTTTTTCAGAAAGCAGAAGTGTTTAATCAAGGTTTCAGAAAGTTAAATATTTTTATTTTATTTGTTATGCTTTTTTGGTTATATGTAAAAAATCTTTGCCTAAATCAAGGCCACAAAGATTTCCTCCCATGTTTTTATAAGTTTTATAGTTACAGGTCTTACATTTATGTCTATGATCATTTGAATTGTTATTTATGTTACAAGGTATAGATAAAAGATTGTTTATTTTTATGTTTAGTTTACATCTGGTAGTTCCAACATGTGTTGAGAAGAATATACTTTCTCAATTGAATTGCATTGGCACTACTGTTGGGAATCATTGGACTTTATATTATTTTTGGTTCTGTTTTCTGTTTGTGAAGCCTGTATTCTCTTCCGTTGATCCGTGTCAGTCCTTCTGCTAGTACCATACTTGGTTACCATTGCTTTAAAATAAATCTTAAATTCAGTAATGTGAACTTCCAACCTTCTTTTTTTTCACAATTGTATTAGATATTCTAAGTCCTTTGCCTCTTATAAGTTTTCAAATCTTTCTGTCTTCAAAGTTTGCTGTTATTTGGTGTGTGATTGCATTAACTCTGTAGATTAATTTTAGAACTCTCTTCTGTATTCCAAAGTCCTGCAACCAACCATGCAGTATATAATTCCATCTATATCTTTACAGATGTTAAATGAAGAATATCTGCCTCACTAGAACCCTCTGCCCATTTCCTTACTTTTGTTCTTTTAATTTCAGTGTATGGCATCAACATTAGTTTCCCATTCCTAACTCTTGTTGCTTTACTTCAGTGTAGGTCATCTCTTGAATTGTTCTGTTTTGCTGCTTAAGACATTCTCTACCCTTGTAGAACATTGCTTCTGAAAGAAAAGTCTTATCATGTGTAATACTTCCAGGGCTTACATGCATCTCTTTGGTTCCCTATTACCCTAGCAGAGAACTGTGAATGGGTGTGTGTGCCCTAGAGAATGCTCAGGACAGTCCATTGGGGTATAGGAAAAGATTATAGGAAGCCTGGTTATGATAAATTTATCTAAAAAAAGGCAAAAACCTTATCAATAGTTTATTAACTGAAAATCAATGTATATAATTCATAAGTGAATACAAATGGATCAGAGGATGAAAATAATTTTTTAAATTAAAAAATTTTATTTCAATAGATTTAAGGGGTACAAATCTACATGGATAAATTTGTATAGTGGTGAAGTCAGTACTTTTAGTGTACCCACCAACCCAATAGTGTACATTGTACCTGATAGGTAATTTCTGATCCCTCACGCCCCTCCCAACTTCCACCCTTTCGAGTCTCCAAAATCCATTATATCACTCTGTGTGACCATATATACTCATCGTATATATATACTCCCACTTACAAGTAAGAACATGCGGTATTTGTTTTTCTCTTCCTGAGATACATCACTTACAATAATGGTCTCCAGTTCCATCCCAGTTACTGCAAAAGACATTATTTTATTCTTTTTTTATGGCTGAGCAGTGTTCTGTAGTTTATATTTACCACATTCTCTTTATCCACTCATGGACACTTAGGTTGATTCCACATCTTTGCAATTGTGAATTGTACTGCAATAAACATACAAGTGCATGTGTCTTTTTTAATGTATATAATGACTTCTTTTTCTTTGGGTAGATACCCAGTAGTAAGATTGCTAGATCAAGTGGTAGGTCTACTTTTATTTCTTTGGGGAATCTCCATACTGTATTTGATAGAGGTTGTACTAATTGACATTTCCACTAACTGTGTATAAGCATCTGCACTAACATCTATTGTTTCTTGCCAATCTTGTGATTTTATTTTGCATTTTATTGATGATTAGTGATCTTGAGCATTCTTTCATATGTTTGTTGGCCATTTGTATATCTTCTTTTGAAAAATGTCTGTTCATGTCTTTTCCCACTTTTTAATGAAGTTATTTGTTTTTGTCTTGCTGATTCGTGCTTCTTGTAAATTCTAGATACTAGTCCTTTTTCAGATGTGTAGTTTGTGAATATTTTCTCCCATTCTGTAGGTTGTCAGTTTACTCTGTTGATTATTTCTTTTGCTGTGCAGAAGCTTTTTAGTTTGATTAAGTCCCATTTATTTATTTTTATTGTTGCTATGTTTGCTTTTGAGGTCTTAGTTATAAATTCTTTGCCTATGCAAATGTCCAGAAGAGATTTTCCTACATTTTCTTATAGAATTTGTATGGGTTCAGGTCTTACATTTAAGTCTTTAATCCATCTTGAATTAATTTTTGTATATAGTGAGAGATAGGGATCCTGTTTCATTCTTCTGCATATGGCTATCCAGTTCTCCCAGCACCATTTATTGAGTAGTGTGACATTTCCCCAGTGTATGTTTTTGCCTGCTTTGTTGAAGATCAGTTGGTTGTAGGTATATGGTTTTATTTCTGGGTTCTCTATTCTGTTTCATTGATCTATGTGTCTACTTTTATACTACTACCATGCTGTTTTGGTTACTATAGCCAAACAGTATAATTTGAAGTCAGGTAATGTGATGCCTTCAGAGTTGTTCTTTTTGCTTAGGATTGATTTAGCTATTTGAGCTCTTTTTTGATTCCATATGAAATTTGGGTGTTTTTTTTCTAATTCTGTGAAAAATGACATTGGTATTTCATCAATGTTTTGTGGTTCTCCTTGTATATATCTTTCACCTCATTGGTTAAGTGTATTCCAAGTTTTGTTTGTTTGTTTATTTTGTTTTGTTTTGTTTTGTTTTGTTTTTAGAGCTGTCGTAAATGGTACTGAGTTCTTGATTTGATTCTCAGCTTGGCTGTTATTAGTGTATAGAAATGCTACTGATTTGTGTACATTAATTCCATAACTTGAGACTTTACTGAATTTATTTATCAATTCTAGAATCTTTTGGTGGCGTCTTTAGGGTTTTCTAGATATAAGACCATATATCATTGGCAAGCAAGGATAGTTTGGCCTGCTCTTTTCTGATGTGAAGACCCTTTATTTCTTTCTCTTGCCTGATTGCTCTAGCTTTGACTTCCAGTACTAGTTGACTAGAAGTGGTACACACTATGGTGTTGCTGGCACTTTGGGTTGGTTGGACCTCACACCCCTGGGAGAGTGTTCAGGTGCCAGCAGTGGTGGAGTAGGTTAGGTCATCCCTAGTTCCCAGGCCCCTGGGTGGTGTACCTGAGTTCTGGGGGTACCAGACCGAGACTGTGCTGGCAAACTTGCCTCAGGCCCTCCTGACTTCAGGCGCTGGCTGTGATAGTGAACGTTCCTGGACTGAAAGAATGTTCAGGCAGGAGATGGGCACACACTCGTGAGCCTGTGATGTGAAGGGCAGGCCCCTCTTGATGAGGTTAGCAGAGGCAGGCAGCTATGGGTGTATAAGCCATTCCCACTTCCCTCTCAGCAATTTCAGTGGTCTCTGTCTTTTGGGGACACAAAAATACCCAGATTCTCAACTCCCACCCTGACCCAGCTATAGCAGATGTGGAGGCAGCTCAACCTAGTATGTGCAGGGCTACCAGAGTAGCTGTGGGCTGTGGTTGAATTGTTTAGGCAGGAGAGGTGTAATTGTACCAGGAGCTTGCCTCCAGGGATAGTAGGCTCCTCCCAGAAGGGATAGGCAGTTCGGGGAGAAGACGACTAGTCCCACCCTCCCTTAGCATAGGTGATAACTTTTCTTTAAATGCAGGTAGTAGCTGCAGTAAGCCAGGCAGGTGAGTGAGTTTCAGTAGCAGTGGTGGGATGACCCTCTGTATTGCAGACAGTGCTATTGCGTCAGTTGTTGACAGTGGCTGCAGTATGGAGATGCCAGCCACGGTCCCATACATGCAGCTCTCAGGC